TCACCGGGATGGCGACAAGCTCGACAGATGTCGACGGTGCCATCCTTTAGGATGTATTTCCGATAATTGTATTGCACAGACAAAACCCTCAGTTTCCCCAAAGAGGTCACCGAAACGTAGCCAGTGGAGGGAGGCGACTGTGTCTACGAAAGGCTCATGAAGGGCCTTGTAGAACCTCCCGTGGAGCTCCTTCTCCTTCCATACGGTCTCCCGGTCGGAAATGCTCTGTACTGCCGGGTCTTGTCATTGCTCATTGGCTAAGGATAGAGGGGTTAGCCCTATATCACAAGAAATAACGTCCCTATAGAATGGATTATCCGCTCTCGTCAGAAAGTAATTACGGAGGCTGCACACTTCGCGATTATGCATGGTAAGCGCGCTTAAAAATCCGCGCCCAACATGCTTCCGCGGCAAGTACAGCCTCATTACTGACGATCTCGGATAATACATCCTGTGGGACGTCATTATAGTGCGGACTTTTCTGTCCAGAGCGTTCAGTTTGGTCTGAGTCCACCTGAGTATGCCAAAGGTATACATGAGAACAGGCATGATCCAACCGTTATATGCGTGCGTCTTATTCACACCGGACAAAAGGCTATTAAGCACTTTGGTCAAGCGTGCATAAAACTCATCGCAAACTGACCGTTTCATACCCGCCTCATCTACACCGATGTTCTGTGACATACCCAGGTATCGATATGTTTCAGCCTCGGAAAGGGTCCTTATGCTGATGGGCATAGATAAGTCTATGCCCTCAGAGTTAGCAACCCATCCCCTTTCGACATAGAGGATCGCACACTTATCCGTCCCCAGCTCCATTCCAATAGAATTACTAAAATCACGAAGTTATGTTTATATATGTATAATCCATAAGATGGGAGCGACTGGAGGCGAATAACTTGAGACCATCCATATAGAAAAGGTGGGTCACTTTTGTATCTCCTTTCCGAAGCTGAAATCCCCTCCCGGAACCCCCCAGTAAGGTACTGAGAGGGTTCAGAGAGAGGCAGAACCAGATTGAACTCAAACAATCACCCTGGAAGATACCCCTTCTTATCCTTATGTGGTTCTCCGCAGCCGTCATCCGCTGGCCTAGGTCAGTGTCTTATATATGTGGAATCCCGGTCTTTAGTAACCAAATGAGTGGTCCCAGTAGTGAAGAGGCTCGGGAGCGACTTTTGATCGAGAGCCTCTTGAAACTGTCGGGCGAGCACAGCGTGACACACCACGAACCCCTTCAGCCAGTAGTGGGGCCCTACGGACCGCCTCAGCTACGTCAACCGGCGTTATGATGACGGGGTCCATGGGTGTAACATTCGCACACTGACTCGCCACAACTTCCGTCCAAGGACCCTCGCTGTGGTTTACGGGCTCCGACCACAGACCGCGCCAGAATGCGACAGTGTTGGCCTGATTGACTGGCCTGTTCCACGTACCACTGGTTGCTTCAGTGATTCATAGTCTCTTCTGATCACTCTGGAAGAGACGATTCTGGTTGAACCGTGTCGACCTCTCGGTATATCGCCGAATCCGCTTCCCCCAAGCAGCGATTCTCTGCTTCAGGTCGTCTATGCGCTCCGTCAGTTTTTGCGTTATATCCGGCTGAGACAAACTGATATTTGTAAGGCCATCATGAAGTAATTTTTTTAAATTAAATTTTATATATAATATTTTTTTTTAATTAAAATTAGAAAGGCCATCCTGAAGGTGCGCACAATTCTCGATCAATTATTGCCCGACCTGAAGCTTATCAGTCTGCCGATGAGGGCCCTTGCCTTTGCGATACGGTCTTCAATCCTTCTTCTCCAGGCTGGGATGGCGCTACTTTGTCTATTAGCGCGTCCAGCCGTGAAGTTTGGCACCAATAATACGGCAAAATGCCAGTGCGGCGCCAAAAAGATTTGAGTCCGTCTCGCAAAGGTCCCGGCTGGCTTCCAAAAAGGTCACCAGCATTTGGTTAAAAGCCCTCACGACAGCCCGATTCCGTTTGCTTATGGGGCATGCGCGGGAGTCGCAGTCGATTTTCGAGAGGCATACTGCGCGTTTCCAAAATAGCCTCTTCCAATGTACTGCTCATTTGCTCTAGTTCTAGTTCCTGGGCGACTGTTCCATCATCGTCTGAACCAACCATAACTGAAAGATTCACGCCGGCATCCAAGTGTGCTGGTTGTTCTACAACTTGTGGCGCCGCATCCTCAGCCGTAGCATTGTCATACAATGAGGGTACAGCCTCACGTCGTAGCCGTTCGAGTTCGGTGCTATCGAATATGTTTGAGCGCAAGATATACCTAACTCGGTCTGCCAGGTTTTGCTCGGTGACGGTTATAGATGGCTCCAGCTCAGCAAAAAGTCGATGCATCCTAGCCCGGTACGTAAAACCTCCAATTTCTCGCCCTTTCGCCCTAAAATACGCCCGCAATGCGTTGCTGTTCATCTGCATTGACCAACGCATGCGGCGTACTCTACCAGTGGCGGGTGCTGATTGCTGGGCCGGCGAAGACCCTGCAAACACCAAGCCAGCTGGTGGGGATGATGGATGCAGGGGGCTGCTAGGTGGTCGTGCTTCTGCGTACCTCGCGCTCGGCTGGCGGCCCGCATACTGTCGCGTCCAGCGCCAGTTCCAGAGGCGCCCCGACGACCTTCAGGCAGCGGCCCTATACGCAGTCTATTTCTTTCCATCATCCATAAATTGGGCGTCAATTAACGGGAGACGCCCAGGCCCGGCACCGTTTCATGATTTGGCTGAAAGCACAAGCGGACCCAAATTAGCACCCTCAATTCTGCCGAGGCACGGCGCTCACACCTGTAGTGTAGTACAGCCCCCCACGATTATATACCTAGTCAGGTCATAAATTCTGTCACATGTTTAATATAAAATAATTGAAACAAGTTTATTCATTATGTAACCATTTATATACCAAAATGAACTTAACAAAACATAGATTCTTATGACACTAAAGTTTATTCAAAATGACCTCCGTGATTTTGAATACAGGCCTTCAGTCTGCGCAGCCAGTCGTCTATCGCAGCACGAACGAGGTCCATGTCAATATCGGCGGCTGTCTTAATCAAGGATGTCTTGAGTGACTCCAAATTGGGATGAGGCTTTGAGCACGCCTTTTCCTCCAAGTGTTGCCATATCTTGTAATCTAATGGATTCAAATCTGGACTGGAGGAGGGCCAGTCTTCGTGACGGATGAAGTAGATTTCACGCGCCGCCAGCCAGTCTTGAGTGTTCTTCGCTCTATGAGCTGGCGCAGAATCTTGTTGGAATACCCAGTGCCTGTTATTGAACATGTTATGAGAAACAGGTTCCACAAGGTTCGTCAGGACTGTATTTTGATACACAACTGCATTCGTTTTTACACTTTTCTCACAAAAATGTACCTGTGTTAAGCCCCAATAAGAAACTCCTAACCATACCATGAGCGAGGATGGAAAATGACCTCGTTGGACACGCGGAATACGGTTGCTCGCTTCTTCACTACTGTGTGCGTACACCTTATCATTTTGTTTGTTGTAGCTCTCTTCTACGGTAAAAATTTTTTCATCCGAAAAAAGAATTTCCCGATATTTTTTCCCGCGTATCGCTTCAACAAAGCTCGGCATCTCTTCAGTCTCAGGTCCATTAGACGAGCATTCAAACGATGTCCTGTTTTTCTTCGATATGCCCGAAGCCCTAAGTCTTCATTTAACACCCTTTTCACCGTGGTTCTGCTTAACCCCATCTGAAGGGCCAACAGTTTCTGCTTACGTTTAGAATTTCTTTGAATTCGCGCCTTCACAGCTTTTATCACTGCTGGAGTCCTAACAGACCGAGGGCGACCACTTCTTGACCTGTCATCTACACTAGAGTCTTCATTGTATCGTTTGATGGTACGATAAACGAATCTTTTGGTTATATTCAAACACAGGAGTGGTAATTGTTTTGTTTGAGTTTTTCGTACTACGTATTTTATTATTGGAATGTCATCATTAATATTAATAATTTACCCTACATAATGTTTTACACTTTTTTTTGACGAAAACTTGACTAGAATCGAATCACCTTTCTTTAATTTGTTTGATGTATTTTCATAATACTCTATATCGGTGAGTCCATAATCCGTATATATGTTTTCTTCATCATCTGATTTATATTCTGTTAGGTACATATTACGGTAACTTTTTAGGTCCATATCTGAACCATCTGAATCATGAATCGTAAAGCCACTATCTTCTTCTAAATCTTCTTCTATCTCAATTTTCTTTGGCTTTTTTTCCGTTTTTATTTTCATGGGATTGTTTTGTTTTTCATATTTTTTTTAAGTATGTATTTCATTAGTACCCTGTAAAGTAAAGTCTGCTGGTCGTTTCATTTTATGTCCTGTAAAAATATCTTTGGTCAGTTTTTCATTACTTTTAAATATCTGTCTTCTAAAATAGCAATTTTCGGTTTTGAAGTCAGTGGCGGTGGTGATTTTGAGGAGCTTGCAAGGCAATTAAGTATTGAAGAATCGTCTTGTAAAAGATGAATTGGATCACGGACGTTCAAGTCTGAATTAGGTGATATTATTTCAGAAAGAGTTGTTTCTGAGCTTGGTGAGTCTATAACATGCGATTGTTTGCTTTTTGTCAGTCTTATATTTTTACTCTTTTCGTCAATTTTCTTCGCTTTTACTTTATCACTTTTCTCATTTTGTTTAATTATTATAACTTTCTTTTTTTGCTTTCGTTGCTTTCGTTTTTCTTCTTTTTATTGTTCTTTTTTTGGCTTTATTGTCTTCCTTCTGTTTCAATCCACACATCCTGATGCGTTATCACCTCTGCACTTGCGTAAATTTTAATTATCTTTTTCTTGACATTGCCAGTTTGCGATTGTTTGGTAGATTGTATAAATAAATCTTCAAAAGATATTTTCTCCGAAGATTTTGAACTAACGATGTTTGGCAAAATGGTGACTGGAGTCGAGTTTAATTTAATACAAGAGTTAATTTTATTCCGGCATAATTTGGTTAAGGTTAATGGTGAGCTACGAGCGAGTGTTTGTTCTTTCGATAAAGTTTCATTGTGTGTTTTTTCCATCGTTTTAGGGCTTCTGGGTCTAGTTTATGTTCCAGTTTAGCTTTTCTGTTAAATGGATAAATTCCCCTTTTTTCGAACCCTTTTTTTATAACATTGGAATTAAGATTTTTCCAACCTTTTCCCACTGTCGCTGAAAACTGATCCTTAGGTAACTTTTCTCTCTTATGTGTGCGTTGCCATTTAACCATTTCCTGATCCCAAGCGTCTTTATAAGATTTGAATACGCTTAGATCAAGTGGCAATTTAATGATGCTGATATTATTTTGTTTCGCCATTTCGACCACAGCCAGTTGCACATGCGTGCTATGACCATCATAAATTAGGAGGGTTGGCTCTTTCTCATCTTTGACCATGGAAATGAAACTTTTTGCCATGAACTCTGCAAAAGCTTCGGATTCAATCCAACCATTGGATGTCGCAGTGTATAAAGTGCCAGGATATGCTTCCGCAGATGTCCATCCACTCCACACATGCTTACCTTTGAAACTTATAAATGGAGGCCCTTTCCCCCCAGCTGCATTGCTGGCAACCAAGACGGTTGTGTTTGCTTTACCAGCTGATGATGTTATTCTAGTTGAAGGATATCCCTTTAAGCCGATCACTTTGGTTTTTTGAGGCTCGCTGCAGTAGCTTGTTTCGTCAATATTGTATATTCTCTCTGGCTTATTTTCAATCCCTAGCTCTTTAATAACTTTATCGACAATGTCGTAAAATTCTTGTATGATGAAAGGGTCAGCCGCATTTTTACGGGCTATCTCAACTGCTTGAGGTTTTTTTATTGACAGCCTATGTCGATTCATAAATTAGAAAACCAATCGTTTCCAGGGATGTCATTGGTAAATGGTGTATTTATGTTTTTTATTTAACGTACTCGCCAACCAGTTCTAATACCTCTTTCCGAAAGCCATGCCTTTCCATAATATGTAGACAGTTAGCTAACTCTATTTCAATTTCAGCTGACAAGGCTGGTGGTCTACCTTGTGTTGATGATTTTTGGCCCCTTTGACCCGTCACTTAATCAGTGGACAGCGTCAACTGTCTGACATAAAGTTTCTCTAGACCAAGAAGGCTTATCGGTTTTTCTTTGATAATTACGAACCATATGTAAAAAGACAATAATTTTAGAACCAGTTGTAGAAAGTATCCGACTACTCCTTCTTGTCGAGAGATCTGTGGGCAACCTTGAATGAGAGTTGTTCAGGAAACCCAAAGGCCTTTGACATGGCTTAAAGACTTGAATGATAACAGCTGGAGCGATAGGTTACCAGCCACCCATCAAACCATATCAAATCAAATAATATTTTTTTTTATAGGATCGGGTGACAAACGAGCACACAGTCCACCTGATGGTAAGTGGTTACTGTGACCCATAGACATCTACATCTATCCTCAATAAAGACTCAAGATGCAGATGCGTTGTCACCCGTGAGGACTAAGATGGAATACCTCTTTGCCAGTAAAAAGGGTCTCCGGTTCTCTACACTCACCATACGAAACACAGCAGCGTTAAGCTGCTATTTTACGCTGGTTTTCTGTGAGAGCGTGGTCCTTCCCCGTTCGAGCCGACCCATTCGTGCTACAACCATAATATAGCTGCAGCATGGCTCTAACACGTAGAAAAATATCATATCATTTATTTTGCTAAAAACATGGGTAAGACGGATGGATACAGAGTCAATATTTGTTTCCACATATTTTGCCATTCGTGGCATGCGAAAAATATTTTTTTTTAAATAAATGTGTTCAGAACAAATGAAGTAACATTAGAAATAAACACATAACATTCCAGTATGTAACTACCACTTTGTAATGATTACATTTATTTTTAGAAGAATATAACAAAATTAGAAAAATAACTTTTAATTCAATTGAGAAGTATCACGCAAAATCCTGGATCTATTGTAACTTATTTAGCTAAACAAAATCAATAAAAAAGAAATCATAAGCAAAATCAAAATTTTTAGTTATAGAATACTTTGATGTTATAAAAGGCAGTATTTATTAGCCACTGCTTTAAACTTTTTTCATTCGCGTTAATGGCTGTTCACGAATATTTTTAGGAACTTTATTATATATCTTGATACACATTACGAGACAATTCCTGTGGAATAATGCAGTTCTACAAGGTGGCATCAGTAGACGTGTCGGATCTCTTTTTGCAAATCCTAAGTAGCTTGATTTCGATTACCGCTTCCGATTAAGAAGCTTAGGCACACCTAAGGGCGCATAAAGTAACTAAAAAAGGAAACGACAAGTACGTTGGTTTTACTCTTTGCACTAACGTTCAACGAGTTATATAATTATAGCGTCCCAAATTCAAATCCCAAGAAAATACAAATAAAGTTACTTATTTAAAATAATTTATAGACTTAATATGAGGCTTTTACTGTAAACCCATCACCCAACGCCTTCTCATCACAAAGCCTAAGGACATCTAGACAGTAACTTCTCAATACAGAAAAACATTACCCTTATTCAGAGGCCGTCGGGCATTGAGAATAGAATAGAATAGAATAGAATAGAATAGAATAGAATAGAATAGAATATTTTTTATTCAATATACATTACATGTGTAATTCTTATTGAAAGTCATTTTTTACTTTACCACTGGTTCGAAAAAAACCCTCTGTCCTGGGAAGAACCAGCAAGAAACCCAGCGGGACTTTTTTTTTTAAATAAATTTTACAATATAAATGATTACGAACTATTTACAAAATTTATTTTAGAAACTGCTTGGAAGCGATCACCTCATTCCCAGGGGTTATTATCAACCATGTATTCATTTATACTATAATAACCCTTTTTATACAGTTTCAGCTTAATAAAACATTTAAACTTGGTAATAGAGAGAACCTGTACACTTTCCGGGACCTTGTTGTAATAGCGTATACATTGCCCCAAGAATGAATTACTGACTCTGTGGAGTCGAGAAACTGGTATCACTAGCTTGTGTTTGTTCCTAGTGTTTACAGAATGTATATCACTTCTTTTACTAAAACTATCTTTGTTTTTGTGAACATACATTAAATTTTCGTAAATATACTGAGAGGCCAAAGTTAATATATTAATTTCTTTAAATTTATCTCTAAGAGACTCTCTCGGTTTTAGATTGTAAATAGCTCTAATGGCCCTCTTCTGTAAAACAAAAATAGTTTCTGAATCAGCCGCATTTCCCCATAGCAAAATCCCATAAGACATTATGCTATGAAAATAACTAAAATAAACTAATCTAGCTGTCTCGACACTAGTGAGACCTCTAATCTTTTTTACAGCATAGGCTGCAGAACTTAGTCTGCTTGCTAATTTGGATATATGGGGGCCCCACTGGAGCTTTGCGTCAAGAGTGATGCCAAGAAAAACAGTGGATACAACAGGGCTCAATTCCTCCCCATTTAAAAACACATTGGTATTCAGATTTTGAACATTCGTTGTTGTAAATTTAACACAATTAGTTTTATTTCCGTTCAAATGCAGATTATTAACGTTAAACCAATGCACTAATTTTGATATAGCATTATTCACTTCGTCACATTTAAATGATTGACGTTTAAGTTTAAAAATCAAGGAAGTATCATCAGCAAATAATACTATATCATGACTATCCCCTACAAGGTGAGGTAAGTCATTAATATACACCAGAAACAGGAATGGGCCGAGAATCGAGCCCTGAGGTACACCCATTAGTACAGGTGACCCGGAAGAACTTTTACCATTGATAATAACCTTCTGTTTTCTATTACTTAAATATGAAATAATAAGTTTAAGCGCTGTGTTCTTGACACCATAGTACTGTAGTTTCCTGATTAATGTCTCATGGTGAACACAGTCGAAGGCCTTGGAAAGGTCACAAAATATACCCAAAGCATCCTCTGATTTCTCCCATTCACAAAAAATATGTTTAATAAGCTCAACTCCCGCGTCAGTTGTCGAGCGACCCCTTGTAAAACCGAATTGATTATTATGTAGCAATTTATTAATATTAAAGAAACTTAACATCTGATCTAAAATAATTTTTTCAAAAATTTTACTTAATGTTGGTAGTACAGAAATTGGTCTAAAATTGGCGGGGTCTAATGTACTACCAGATTTAAATATAGGTATGACTTTACTATGTTTCATTAAATCAGGAAACACACCAGATTCGACGCTTATATTAAATATAGTGGCTAGATAAGGTGCTAATGTATCTATTATAGATAAAATAACTTTAACGGAAATCCCCCATAAGTCTGCCGTTTTCTTAACATCAATAGTTTTAAAATATTTAACGATATCTTTTGGCAGTACCCTATGGAATTTAAAAGTATTTGAACAAGCCTTTACATTTTGTTTGAGCAATGATTCGGCGACAGTAGGAGAAGAATTTAATGATTTTGTTGTCAAAAAAGGAACATCAGTAAAATGTTTCTCAAAGTCCATAGCAACTTCTTGATCAGATCGCGTTAAATTATTGTTAATATTCAATTGAAAATCCGAGTTGCGCGGTTTGACCTTGCCCGCTTCACTATTTATTATTCTCCAGGTCATTTTAATTTTGTCGGATGCAGTTTTAATTTTGTTGCTTAAATGTAAAGCCTTAGCAGTGGAGCACACTTTTTTAAATATTTTAGAATATGTTTTTACATAATCTCTAAATATAACACTACTATTATATGATCTTTCATCATAAAGCTCGTATATTCTTCGCCTACTTTTATAAATTCCTACTGTCGCCCATTCATTAAATGATTTGCGACTGTTAAAAGAGAAAGTTTTAGAAGTAAATATTCTACTAAATTCACAACGTATAATTTCAAATAATGTAGCATACAAATAATTAGCACTATTTTTAAACGAAAGTGATGGAAGTCTTTTTATTATATTACTTCTAAACCTCTCCAAGCGATGTTCATTTATTGGAACAAACACAACTTTTTTATTTTTCTGTTTTTTGTGTATGTAAGGTAGTGATACTAACTGTCCACAGTGACCTGAACTTAAATTTTGAATAATTGATTTATGCAAGGGCTTAACATCTGTAAAAATGTTATCTATACAGGTCGCACTAAGCCCAGCAATACGTGTTGGTTCTAAGAATAAATTTACAAGATTATACGATTTAAACAATGAGCTAAACTTAATACTAATGGAAGAAGTTTCAAGGAGATTGATATTAAAGTCTCCACACATTACAACAGACTTGTTCTGTTTACTAAGTTTGAGTAAAACTTCTTCCACAATCCTATCAAAATGGTCATAAGTAGCACATGGGGGTCTGTAAACACTTACAACAATGAGGTGCTCGAGCTCGACACAAGCCATTTCTACAGTTCGTTCAACAGAGAGGCTCACAATATCCTTACGTTCTTTATATAATAATGATTTATGTGCTAATATTAAGGAGCCACCACGTAAACTTTTTTCTCTATTGAAGGAACTGACCACCTGGTGATTTCTGAAATTAAACATGAAATTATAATCTTTTAGCCAATGTTCAGTAATACAAAGGATGTGTACATTGTTACTATTTAAAAACAATTCAACCTCCAATTCTTTGCCCAACATGCCTTGTATATTTTGATGCACCAGGTGTAAACAATTTTTATTACTTATTTGTGGGCTGTATTCAAAATTAATTAAACTCTTATTATTGCTAGAGATTGCCTCTATTGTCACATTCACTAATTTAAATTAGTTGGAACTGATTCCAAATTAAATGTCAAATAATTATGCTCAATAAAAGCAGTCTTGGTAGCCAAAAACTTGGCTGAGTTAAAAAGTAAATAATAAGATAGCACATTTGCTATCAGTCTTAAATTAT